ATATATACGTGTGTGTGTGTGTGTGTGGTGTGTGTGTGTGTGTGTGTGTGTGTATGTACTCAGTGCCTGGTCTGGTTCTGTGGCAGGTCCCCCTGGAATGAGATTACATTAGACTTTTTTCAGACTGTTGTTAGTCTAACAGAGGTCATGTTTACATAAGTGGAGGAGCTGTTGACACGACGGTCCCGTGTGGCCTCAATCTACTGAAGGACAAGCCAACTTCCAGCCTTTCATGGATAAACCGATACACTGTTTTCATATCAGTGAGGCTGTCCATCATTTCAGACCGAAGTCAAATAATTTACGTTGAAGTAAAAAGTGTGTGGCATCCACAAATCTGAGTTTTGGACATCAAATCTTCTTAATGGTCACCGGGTATGCTGTTTTTTTTTTCTTTTGATATGTCATGTGGTTGGCTGTAGGATGATTTGTGTGATTTTCTGCAGGAAAAACAGGAATCTGTCAGTTGTATCAAATGCAAATATTATACTTTTTTTTTTACCAGGATGACTAAGGAAACTAACCAACCCAATCAGCCAAGGTAACGAGTACTAATCATACCAGAGTGTTGTTGACAGGGAGGGGCGTACTGATTAAAGGATTGATACTATCGATAACAAAATGTGTATGAAATCAGATCAATGCTAGCGTGATCAGATTAATTCTTATGTTTACACTTTATTTGCACAACTGACTTTATTTCACACGAATAGAGGGAAACATAAAGTCAGTTCAGACTCTTAATAAGTTGCAGTTAGTCAATTGCAGAAATCYCTTCTCTTACATCTGCAAGCAATGGAAGTTATTTTTGTTGTGTTATTCACATCCTTGTATTTATAATTTTGTTACATGGTTGTTTCTTTTTTATTATTTTGCACTAGCGACTTTTTTCTAAAACAGTTGCACTGTTCTGTTGTCTTATTTTGTTGCAGTTAGTTAATACAAAACATTTTAGTTGCCTAAAATTTTTGTCCTGTGTTTTATCATAATCGCAAAATAACATAATTATTAATTTTTCAAGTAAAAAGCATTGGTTTTGGTGATACTAGCCCTATTTGATATGATGCCAAAATTCCCAGTATAACCCACCCCTCGCTGACATATGCTGCAGCCAGACAAACTGGACATTTTGGTTGACAAATGGGAAAAAGCCAAGCATAAAGAGCAACAGTGGTACAGAGGTCAGATGAGGCAAGCCTGTGATCAGAAGGTCAYCAGATCGACTACCTGGATTGACCACAAAAATGTGGGCGGGAAAAGTGAAGCCATTTATCTGAAATTAAATAAATATTATCCCCTCTTACAAGCAGTGGATGTGTCAGACACAGTGTAGTATCTTTAGCAGCTAAACTTCAAACTAAGACTGTCAAAATAAAAAAAATATTTTAGCAATATTTAAATAATCCATTACAAACTGACTAAAGTATGGTAGAGAAAGTTTTTGCGATTAAAATATTTATAGAAAGACAAACTCAGTCAAAGAAATGCTTTTATTCTGAAAGGGGTAAACTGGGAATATCAGGTAAACATAACTCTGTACAACTCTGGTTTGGATTGGTTGATTTACCACAGATGATCCCACCCACATTCAAATTAAACCAGTAGAAATGTAACAATAGGTTTGCATCCCACCAGTCTTCAACTAGAWGAAGATGAAGACTGCAGTGACAGTCATCTTAGTGGGTTAGCGTTAGCTTCCACAATTTTTTTACTTGTTTAGTGTAATAAAATTCTTGTTTAAAGGTTAATGAACCTAACTTTTTGGTTAAGCAGTGCCCACCACTGATAATATGTTCCAAATGATTTGTGAATTGGTCAAAAAGAGAGGGATTTTAGTACCTCTGACCACTCAGATTACCAATGAAATGTGCTGGATGTGGCTGCTGCTCGATGTCACAGAGGTGTGTGGATGGAGGGAAAAACACACCTCTCCTGTGAAGGAAGTGAAGCCAAGAAAGCCTGGCTGTGTCTGTGTGTGAGTGGCTGTGTGAGCAGATAAGAGAAGAGCTGCTGATTCTGGTTTTATCCCCCCCACACTCCCCTCGTTGCTGTCTTTCTGTGTGCAGCTGCAGGTCTGAGAGCTGACCTGCATTAAGACATCAGAAACTGTTTGATGGCGCTAATAGGAACAGTTTCTCCTGAGCATCTTCAAAGCGTGGTAAACTGTAGAGGTTTTTTTTTTTTTTTTTTTTTTTTTTT